CAAGGCCAGCCGAGCAGCGCGCCCGCCTGCCCACCGACACTCGCAATATTCCTCACAGCGCTGCTCCTGATGCGGTAGACATTATCGACGACTTATCTTCGTTAGCAGATTGAAACGTCATATTACTAATTTTATTGAAATTTATTAACGGTTAACGCACCCAAATGTTGCCAACAAATATATTTTTTGTAACTACATATAAATAAATAAAAATCCCACAGAAATACATATTGGTATTGTAAAAACATTTGGTAAACATAATATGATTTCAGGACTTGGTGTTGCGCAGCCGACTAAGATATTACAAACAGAATATTAACGTTGTGATATGTACGCTAGAACTGGAATTGAATTTATTAAATTCCATGGCAATTAGTACTTTATAGACATAACATTTATTCAAATCCTGTTACTTAACTAGTTGTTGTTACTGGATGTATATTGTGTAATGGTATTTATGTATATACATATTTATGCAACATTTGAATTTAATGTAACTAATAGAACTGATTACCTTTTCGACTTAGTTTTAAAATGTGATATTGTTTGTTGTGTAAGTTATGTATGTCAATCAATAGTTTACGAATAATTTTGATAAATCAGTAGATTGCTATATTTGCTTTCTATCAATTTTCCTGTTTATTTTTATAATTTAATCGTTACATATTGTATAAATAAAATTATTTAATTTATTAAAAATCCCGCCTTAATATATTGTTGATTGACATTCAGCATGTTGTAAATAAAAAGACTAATGATTATTTAATTTAATAGAATAAGAAATAATAGAATGTCCATTTAAACCTTTATTTTCAATATAAATAAAAAAAAACTAAAACACGTTTACTCAATTTGTTTAATTTTAAATTAGATTTCCATTTTCTTTATCATCCAATGGAAAAATCCCAGAATTGAAAACGACATGCTCAATGGTACCGCCGAAGCTTTGATCCAAGCCCACAAACTGAAAACGAGAAATAAATGCAATAAAAAACATTATTATTATTAGATAATAATATTTCTAATCATGATTTCTGATAAGAAAATCTACAAACAATATCATATAAGTTGGACTGTCATTATTTTTAAAATGATTAGAATCTATATCTGTATAAATTTAAATCTCGAAATGAGTAAATCCTCTTGAATAGATTTCATAAATAGAGCAAAATTCTAGGGCCACAAACTCGATGATCTGGAGTAATTTGTTACCAGCAGGACTTGTCGGTTGATTACAAGGAGGTTGACTTACTCATAAGGATCATCAGATATATAATAGGGTTGCGACGTGGGCAAGACGCCGCAGTCGGCGATGTAAACGTGTTGCGTGGGTCGGTCATCACCGTCCGTCGTCGTGTGCTCCACCACGTGCACCAAGTTTTGACCTTCAACCACCTACAACACACTCTTAAATGTTTCTTGTCTAACATACATTAGGTTTTAATATTACTTTGCAACTATTTACTAAGTGTATAACAACTATTCAAGTAACATACCTTTCCTATTACAGTATGTAATCCATCAAGCCACGGTGTACCAGTTGCAGTTATTATAAATTGACATCCGTTAGTATTCTTACCTGAAATTATATATTATTTTATTTTTTTAAAGGTTAAAGCTATGAAAGTTTAAAATTACCCGCGAAATTAAGTGTGGTAGCTTACCTCTATTAGCCATAGACACAAAACCAGCAACTGTATGCTGCGTATCTAAATTTTCGTCATCGAATGTCTCGCCGTAAATGCTTATGGAACCAGAACCATCGTCATTTACCACATCTCCACCTAAAGTTAAACAATCTTTTGTGAAACAAGATGTTTTTTTTTAAACTTAAATAATAAAAATATAATTAATAACACCTTGTATCATAAATCTTTTAACAATTCGGTTAAATCGTGTTCCTTTATAAGATTTTCCTTTGATACCCTTAGTAGCTAGCATTTTAAAATTTTTCACTGCACGAGGCGCTAAGTCACCAAATAATCCTATAACTATCCTTCCAATTGTTTTATCTTCTCTTTCTATATCTAAATAAACTTGATCTGTCACTCTAAATTGTCGAGCCTAAAACATTAATTAATTATCTTGTTATAATTTCTGTAGATTTTTTTAATTGGATAAAATCTCTAACACTCACATCTACTACGACAAGCTGTACTATAGAAATAAAAATAAGAACGGCGATGATAACATTTGGACACATCTTCAAAATAATGATTAATGCGCGAAAAAGAATTATAACATCGTATCTACAACACTGAAAGTAGACTGGACTTCGTGCTAGCAGAGGTAAGTAACTAATTAAATAATACGCTCAAATTACGATGAAGCCATATGTACGTCGTATATATGCTACTTCTTTTTTTTCTTTAGAATTCAGACTGGAATGTAATCTAATCTAGTTAATACTCATTAGCCAACCTCTGACAACTTCAGTATTTTTAAACAGGAATAAAGATATGTTCGAATTTCGCGGTACAAGTTTGGAACTAATTCTTATTAAATAAACAGAGTCGGTCACGCTTAAAGGTGCCTGGTAACTCTGTCTGGTCAATCGGGAGCCCGAGCGATGCTTCCCTGATCTGCAACGCATTGTACCGCTCATTAACTCTAGATCATTAGTGGCAGGTCTTTAATTGTTTTGGAGACAATTTTTGTGTTTTTAAATAAAAAACTACTCACTAAATTCTTTTAGCAAAAAATCCTATAATACAATATATTAAATTCGGTTTTAATTTGTACTGTTTGATTTGTTTAGTTCGTGTACCAAACTGCGGTACCATTTAGAACGCATCACTATAACTGTCACCAGCAAAAACCAAAGACAATCATTTGCTTATGTCAGTTATATTGACAAAATATTGTAACAAAAGTTAGAATTTAAGTTAAATTGAAATAAAAATGACGGTAAATAATACTATTGCGCATCAGCGTTTAATCCTTAGTGGCGACCGCGAGAGGTATGTGTATAATGTAATCATTTATTTGTAAATAATTTAATCAAATGTTAAGATTTATTGTTTTAAAAGGTGTCAATAAAATCTTCAATCATAGCTCAATTACTATTAATATTGCAGTTTTAGCATCTTGTTAAATACTAAAGAGTTAAAATGTATGTTACAAGTACCATGAAACAATGTCAATAAAGTGGGAGGGTTACAAAGGATAATGTTTTTAACAAACTGTAACAACAAACATTAGTATAAAAACATCTTTTCATTCAACAGATTTAAAGATTTACTAATGCGAAGATTAATAGAATGCGGATGGCGAGACCAAGTACGAATGTTGTGTCGTGAAGCAGTTAAAGAAAATGAAGGAGCCAATGTAAATTTTGACGCACTTGTCTCAAGAGTGACCCCACGAGCGAGAGCCCTAATCCCTGACACTGTAAAGAAAGAATTGTTACAAAAAATTAAAACACACCTCTTGACACAAAAGGACTAATATCAATATTCTAATATGGAACTAACCTTATCCGGCAAGTGCACTTTAATGTAAAAGAATCAGTGACATTGAATGTAATGTATGTAATTACTTTTGTTTAAATAAGTTCATTGATAGTATAAAAATAAAACTTAATTTTACAATCAACAGTATATTTTATTAATAAACATTTACAGATACAGTAACCAAGGAATACATATTGCTTACATAGACATAATACTGCCGTAGATCCCATTATCCGACTGTCATGACCAAACACAAGTTGTCATGGAGCCACATTGAGAATGTTCACCTTACATTACATGTCTCATGTTATTGAAACTACTATAAATATTGTTAACATCTAATTATCTGTATATCAAGCTACTTACATCATATACCAGACCTCCACTTAAATAGAAACACCCATCATTCTAATTTATACTGTTACTAATCTAAAAATGTTCTAGAAAGACTAAGCAATTATATTATGGTTACAACATTTAGAGGATTTGTCAAATATTATGCATCAACAGATGGGTATTTCTAAATCAGTGTAATTGTTATTTATGACACAAAGGAATTCCGAAAAGATACATGAAAGGATTTTGAACTGTAGATTGAAAAAATTTAATGGATAGATCAGTTATAATTAGGTTATCACTTATGTATTGTTTATACTTTTTTAACAGCATTTACATTTATTTCAGAATAATAATGCTTATGCTTTATATTAATTCTTTCTGACAACTCAAAATAAAAACCCAACCTTGTTAAGATGACAATGTTTTTCTATATGTTGTTAAACAGTGGAGACACATAAATCTAACAATTAAAATGCTTAGAATTTGGATCATTACAATATAGTGAAGTTACTTGTCTTGATATGAATTTATTTTAACTTATTTGATTAAAATATCTGATTTAAAAAGAATGTGGTTTTATTAGAGTCAAAAAAATATGACAATGTCTAAATAAAAGTTGATATACTTTTATTTAGACATCGAAAAACCGCAGGTCGATTTTCAACGAATATTATGCATAGAAATGTATCTATCCGGATATATCGATTTTGTTCTGATCACTTAATATACATTCATATTTATACATATCTACACTGAATTGTACATATATGTTTTTAACACAAATATTGGGCATATTTTGGCAAAACGTTTCCTTAACAACACACACTGTTGGATAAAATATATTAAATGTGTTTAATACATGTTACTTTATAAAAATCAAATCAGACTACTTAAATTAATTTTGATTAACCCCGCAGCACCGGAGGGAGAGGAACAACAATCACAAAATATACATTTGCCAATTCAACTAGCTAAAAAAGAATATTGACAATTTCGTCATAATAAATAAATGCAATTCTAAATTTATAATCAAGGGCTTTCAAAAGAAATGAGCAATCAATTTTCCTTAGTATAACCTCCTTAAAGCTTTCCAATGCCTTGACCTATGCTTATATGTACAAATGGAATGTAACATGGACTTTTATACCTTTCATGTATAACATATTTGATCACATAGTAAAGATTTATTTTATATCAGTACTCATTTACAAATAAACTGTTAAAACTTAAAACCTATGTACTTCACTTAAATAAACCCATGCACATAACACGCAACATACAATAAGGGCATACAATACTGTTGTTTACTGTTGAGCAATTACCAATGATTGTATGAAGTGGTTTGTGTGAGTCAACTTATGCTAAATGTATAGGATAAATTACCCGGATTTGCTTATTTATATAATAACTCAATTACATAAGTTACATACCAATAAATTCTATTTCACAAATGTATTTTTATATAATGTATTTTAATATATTTTAGTAAATTATAAATGTTCAATATCCAGTGAATGTACTTCTCACACCTAAGTCTTCAAGTCAATTTGGAATAGAGTGTGAGTCATTTTTTTATTTTTTTTCACACAAACCAACAATGAAATTTTTATTTTAAATTTTGAATATTGCCTATGTTAACGAGCAAACTAGTAGAAATATGTGCTTTTTCCTTAACAATTAATATAGTAAATTATCTTAAATTAACTTAACCAATAGATATTATAACAAACAATCAATATATAAGGTATAAAAGAAATATATAGAAAAAAGAATTTATAAAATGCCATGGAGAATAGCTTACAAAACTATGTCAGATCAATATTTATTGTGCTCATAGAAATGTGTTGAAGAATGAGAAATTAAAAATAAGTGATTGTGCTTAAAGTTACGTCACTGGTGGACAAAAATGTTTTTAAACTGAACATACGCGTTTTTAACAAGTTTTTCTTCGGAAAATTATTAATTTTCGATTTTGCACAAGACTATATATTATATTTTTCTACAATGGCGCATAATAATTGTAAAATAATGGAAAAAATAAACAGTCATATACAGAGATTCATTGATAAACTAATAATCCTTATTTTTTGCGTTACTGCATAAACAGGATTAGTGTTATGTAAATAAAAAATTCGTATTAATAACAAGCCATAATATAACCATTATTTCAACATTATACAATAAAATTTTGGAATAAACAACACAACAGCTTCAGCGACTATTGGCTATTCACAACCCAAGTAACCTTCTGTTACACATTTTGATTCCTTTGGCTTTTTTTTGCGAAACGAAACGTCGTCAAATAAACCTTGCTAATTCTTAAAGAACCAGTCGACACAACTCGCAAAGGAATAGTAATTTATCCAAATAAACTTGCTTTGGCCTACAATATAAATAACAACATTACCTACGATATATTTATTTTATGGAACGGACAATATAGATGTTTATTTGAAAACATTATGTATATAGCTGTAGTAACTTATCAGATTTAAACCTATTTGTTAAAGTAAAAATATTGCACCAACAAGCCATTCCAAATTCTTTGTACAAATTGTGCGAAATAATAAAAAATATAAAAAATAACATGCATTAACATTTTATAGCAGTTGAGAATTTAATTTAATAAAATAAACCTGCGTTAAATGGAAAGGGAGATTTGAAGAAAAAGATTTAACTGCCTTACAACGGTATAAAACGGTAAAAAAATATTAAAAAAAGCTAAAAAGTGAAATTTTCATCTTTACTGTTTTATGTTGAGAGAGTGGAGATAGTCGATTGAAAACTTAATGCACCTAAAAATTAAATCATCATTATTATATTAGCTGTCATTTTATAAAATAGATCCGATTTAATGGAACATCTAGCCCATGGATATGAATATTGGGGACATATTTGTGTTTTTTTCTGCTTTAGATACGAAACAATGTGTAATTTTATGAGATTTGAGCTAGGATTTGTCCTTAACTATGAGGCACGCGCTGCAGGTTGTTATGAGAGCGGGCGGCGCGCGCGCGGGCGCTGCGCGGGGTGGCGCGACACCAGCACCAGCGCAGAGGCCAGCGACATGCGCACCGG